GCTACTCCCGGAGGACCCCAAAAGTCGCCCAAAAGCTGTAACCATCCAGCAAGACGGGTGGGTTACCATTACAGGGAAGGGCAGGCAACCAGCCCCCCCCCCCACCCGTAACACCTAAGGAAACGGTGAAACCCACAGAGACAAGGGCAACCACCGGGGCGACTCTACAGCCCCCCCGCCAACCCTGCCACAGAACGGCAACCCTCTAAGAAGAGGAGGCAGGAGAGGAGCAGGAAGAAGTCGCAGCCTCCTCAGGCTGTCACCTCTACCCCGACAACATCTGGACTAGTAGCCTCAGAGGCGCAGATTACTCGGGAGTCGACCAAGAGCGTGGGTAGAGTGCCAGAAAGGGCTCTACCAGAACGTAGAGCCCGCTCTACAGCTAGAGCGCGCTCTACCCATAAGCCAAGAGGGCAGGACCAGGAACATCCACACCCGAGACAATTGCCAACGCCTTTACAAAGGAAAACACCTACCACCGGCCTCGAGACAGCAGACGCAATACAACGTTTAGTTGGTATTGCCATCGAGGTCGGCACTCAAGTCCTGGCTGACATAAGAGCCGGGACAGATCCAGTCACGGCGATCATGAAGGCGCTGGCAAACCTATTAGCCCGGCATTACGGAGGAGAGTAATCTACGCCTCCTCTATTGGAACCTGGACGGAATACAGCAGAAGCTGCATGAACTCCGCACAGTCGCCCAGCAACAGGACTTGCACATTATTTTGCTGGGCGCGACAAAATTAAACCCAAGACGCATATTAAGCTGCCAAATTACCACCTATACAGAAGGGACGAGGTCACTCCTCAAGGGGCCGCCTACAGAGGGACGGCGGTTCTTGTGAGGGGGGACATCGTCCACCAAGAGCTGGGACTACCACCTTACCAGACTATGCGCTCTATTGGCATAAGAATGGAGGCGGCGGGCGAGGAACTAAGGATCTACGCAGCATACCGCCCGCCAGGGACTCCATTCTGCTCCTCAGACATCCGAACGGTGATGGAAGGCGAAACACCTACTATAATCGCCGGGGACCTAAACGCCAAACACCCGGCGTGGGGGTCCAGAGTGATCACCCCGCCGGGTCATGCACTATACGAAGACGCTGAGAAAAACAACTATGACGTTTTAGGTCCCGAAGAACCAACCAACGTTCCGACAGACCCGAAGCAACATCAGGATGTATTAGACATCGTGCTCTCTAGGAACGTCAATACCAGTAGTGGTAGAGGTGCTATACGACCTGAGTTCACAGCACCTCCAGATTCTGATAACCCTTGGCACTAAGGCGGTGACTACGCCGCCCAGAGCATTTAAGATACGCATCGACTGGAGGCGCTACGCACAACACCTGCAGGCGAGACCTCCAGCCCACCAACTCATAAACACGGACAACGTAGAGGCCGCTGCAACTAGAATCACCAAAAACATCCAGGAGGCCCTCCACGCGGCTTCTACGATCGTCCCGATCACAGAAAGGCGTGACGATCTGCCGCGGGAAATAAGCGTGCAGATAAAGCGCAAAAGAGCACTGAGGAAGCTCTGGGCGCGTACTCGCTGCCCAAGACTAAAATCACAGCTTAACATCTTATCGGAGGAACTGTCGGTTGCAGTCCGGGCCTACAGAGGAGAGGCCTGGGAGCGGCGCATATGGAAGGCGGATGAGCAAAATGCGTCGCTCTATAAACTGAACCGACAGTTAACCAAAACCAGACCTCCCGTTTGCCCGCTGACCAACAGTGCGGGCGAACGCTGCTATGATGCCAAGGGCAGAGCGGATATCCTAGGAGAGCACTTCGAGGAGCAATTTATGCCGAATCCTGCAAGTGCGGAGTTCATGGAGCTTCATGCCATAAAGGAGAGTCGCGTACAGGAGTTCCTGTCGTCACCTGCGCCGCCTCTTGCAGAAGAGTGGTTCATTTCCCCCGCCGAACTGCGGAGGACAGTAACCTGCCTGCAACCGAGGAAGGCGCCCGGACACGACGGGATTACCAACGCTGCACTCCGACAACTGCCCTATAAAGTCCTAGTCGAGATTGGTCGACTCTACAATGAGATACTGCGGACATCCCACTTCCCGGAGGAATGGAAAAAAGGCAAAATTATCGTCTTGCCGAAACCCGGGAAGGACAGGCGTAGAGCTGCCAGCTACAGGCCGATTACGCTATTACCGCACATAGCTAAACTGTTTGAAAGATTGCTGCTGAGACGTCTCCGTCCGTGCATCCAACTTCGGGCGGAGCAGCACGGATTCAGGAGGGGTCACTCTACAGTCACACAGCTGACTAGAGTGCTGCACCTGCTTGCGGCAGAGTACAATCGTGGCCGCATATCGTTGGGCGTCTTTCTCGATATCGAGAAGGCGTTCGACCGGGTGTGGCACTCAGGATTACTATACAAACTACACGAGCAGACCAGTGTCCCCCCCTGCTATGTTGCGGTTAATGGCGTCTTTCCTGGAAGACAGGAAGTTCTACGTCTGCGTAGAGGACGCCGAGTCCGCAACAAGAACCATCAGTGCCGGCGTCCCACAGGGCAGTTGTCTGTCTCCAGTCCTGTACGCGGCATACACGAACGACATACCAACATTGGCAGGCAGGCTGCAAGAATGGGAGGACGATGTTGAGCTGGTGCTATATGCGGACGATAGCGCCTATTTCACCTCGTCCAGAAGAGCCCATATAGCCACTGCCAAAATGCAGCGTCTGCTGGACCTGTTGCCACCATGGCTGAACGAGTGGAGGATGGTCGTCAACGTTGGTAAGACGACCGCTCTGCTCACCCGTCGTCTCAGAAATCTACCACCACCGCTAACTCTCGACGGCCAGAAGATCGCGTACGAGAAGGCCGTGACATACCTCGGGTGCCGGATCGACCGGGCGCTGCGCATGACTGCGCACGTCGACTTCGTCGTTCACAAAGCCAGATGTGCGCGGGCGATGCTTCGTCCGGTCCTGGCATCCAAGCTGCCAATAAAGACCAAGCTCCGGATATACAAGATGTATATCCGGACCATTACCACCTACGCTGCTCCGGCCTGGTACGCGCTTCTGAGCGACCCTCTGAGGCGGCGACTACAGGCTCAGCAGAACCTGTCATTAAGGACGATTGTCGGAGCAGGTCGTTACGTCCGGAATGACGTCATAGCGGCCGATCTGAAAGTCGAGACCATCACCGACTTCGTGGCCCGGCTAGCGCGCGGCATGTTTGACCGTGCCGATAACGGGCCACATGACCATCTCAACGGTTTTGCACCGTTGCACACTCGGCCCCCGGACGGGCGACCTCTTCCAAGAGAACTCCTCTCTATATCGATTAGAGAGTCGAGTAACAACCCACAATGCCGCTGAAAGGCCAACTTAGACCTAATTAGATAACCTCCACAGATAACCTCCTTCCCGTAGTCGGTGAACTACGGGAAAAAATTCTTATCCGGCTACGTTACAACCGTAGCACTATCTATGCCATGATTAGGCCAAAATGACTGCCCCATAGTTATGGGGTATGAGGATATCCGGGTAATGGGGTTTACCCCGAGGCCCGATACCTGCATGTACCTAGGTACATGTAGACGACAATCAACGGTTGCAATTCGTTCGGGAATCCTTCGGGAATCGTTCGGGAATCCTTCGGGAATCGTTCGGGGAAGTTTCGGGAAAGTTCGGAGAAACTTCGGGAATCAGACCAGCAGTCAATAAGAAGAAAGAAAAAGTGTAGGGAAGTGATAGGGAAAAGTAATTACTCTCTCACGGAACGGTTTGAAGATAATTGCTGTTTTATTCTCAAGAAATTCATCCCTCAAAATTATACAGTCCACATCGAAGAATTAAGGCGTTGGGACCGGGACGACTTCGGAAGACCCGTAATCCCCGTCTGAACCTATTTGCTGAAAAGGAAGAGGTTATCGCCCTTGTGTGTTACTCCGTTGCGGAGATCACATACGTTGTTCCCGAACCCAACGTAGGCGTTATAGGAGGCCGGATCGAGAGAAGCCTCGATTCCTCCCTTCTGTTTCTTAGTTGAACGTTTACACAGCCGTCGGTTCCTTTTCATAGACGAATCCACCTCCACCCACATATTAAGACCCATTAAGTCGTTTAAGCTACAGAGTATGCTGAAGAAATGGACATACATATACTGAGTGATTTTTTTTGCCGTCTGGTAAAAATATGGTGGAACAGGTGAACGGCATAGAAACCTATGGCAATGATATTTTGCAATTTTAATTTTAATTTTACATTAACATATTATCAAATAAGACATGCAGGAAGTCGATGGATGCAGGTGGCTCAGGACCGTGCTTTGTGGCATTACTTGCGGGAGGACTATGTTCAGCAGTGGACTTGTGAAGGGCTGTAATGATGATGATGATTATGAAATAATTGATCTATCAATAAATACCACTAATTTGCAATAGGCTTTCGGTAGTAAAATAATAAAAATACAAATTTTGAATTGTTCGGATTAATCCCAGCCGCCAAATTTCATGAACGCACTACGCGGCAAACCTCCCGCTACCAACCACACCCTTTGGATGGTTAGCGGTCCACCACTGTACGTTTCACTAGGAGTTTTCTACCGCGTACGACCTCTCTGTGGAATAGTTTACCACCGGCGATTTTTCCGGACCTATACGACCTGGGGACCTTCAGGAAAAGAGCTTACTCCCTTCTAAAGGGCCGGCAACGCACCTGCAATTCCCCTGGTGTTGCGTTTGTTTATGGGCCGCGGTAGTCACTTAACATCAGCTGAGCCGCATGCTCGTTTGCCCCCTCTACTATAAAAAAAAAACTAAATACAGTAATAAGTTCCCAATTAATAGTATTTATTGATAGTTCAATTTCATAATATGTTAATGTAAAATAAAAATAAATTGTAAAATATCAGTGCCATAGTCTTGTATTCCGTTCACCTGTTAAACCCTATATTTTTCCAGACGGTAATAAAATCAGCCTGTATACTATATTATACAATATTCGGGTATAAATAACTCTGACCAGTTTGAAGAGCCCATCTGTAGGAGCCGTCAGCGTGAGGTCCATCGAAGTCATTCCTGATGATCTTCTCTACGTGCTGGCCACACGATACCGTCGCTATTGACACCAACTGAGGGGTAAACAGAAAATATAATGAACTAATAACGAATAAATATACATTATTACGTCGCTCGGTAGCTTGACAATAGCTGCTTAAGTGGCTCTTTGGGCTAGTGGTCGTTAACACGGTTCGAATCCCGGGTCTTCTGACAAGAAATTCTCTGTAGCAGCCCAGAGTCAGAAAGTTTGCGGTGTCTCACCCCCGTGCCTCGCAAAGCGCGTAATGCTGTTGGTCCTTCGTCTGATCTCTCTCCGGTCTGGTCGAATTCACATCGAAATATGAGAGTGAGGGAATAGAGACTGCACCTGTGCTTGCGCATACACTCGGGCACTATAATCCGGCCTGTCACAACACGCAAGTCGTGGACAACGAAGCTGTCTGCCTCGTTGGTCTAATGGTTGTATTAGTGTGACTGCTGATCTTGAGGTCCAGGGTTCGAATACCGGGCCGGGGTTCAAAAATCAATTATTGAGTTTTTTCGTCAAGAAATTCTCAGCAGCTGCCCAGAGTCAGGAAGTTTGCGGTGTCTCACCCCCGTGCCTCGGAAAGCACGAAAATCCGTTGTCCTAGTCCCGCGCCTGATTTTTTTTGGGTCGTTATCGTGTTTTTTTATAGCATAAGGGTGACAAACGAGCACACAGTCCACCTGATGGTAAGCGGTTGCTGCGGCCCATAGACATCTACATCTATCCTCGATTACGAATCAAAATGCAGATACGTTTTCGCCACTGATGACTAAGATGGAATGCCTCACTCACCATACAAAACACAGCAGCATTAAGCTGCTATTTTACGCTGGTATTCTCTGAGAGCGTGGTCCTGCCCCGGTCGAGCCGACCCATTCATGCCACAACTAGCATAGCTGCAGTGTGGCTCTACCACGTGAATTAAGAATACGCTAGTAATATACATATATTATAGTACTATATTACAGGTTTTTTTAATAGAATATGGTTGACAAACGAGCACACAGTTTACCTGAAGGTAACTGGATGCTGTGGCCCCAAGAAATTTACACTTATCCTCGTTTAAGATCGAAATGCAGATACGTTGTCACCCCTGAGGACTAAGATGGAATGATTCGTTTTCTGTAAAAAGGATTTCCGGTGAACTGAATGACTGGCCGCCGTGAGTTTCGATCACGGCGTATTATTATTTATTTAGTATTCTCATCTGGTTAGGCTGAAAAATGGAAATGCAAAACATACATTAAATATAGTTATTTGTTATCATTTTTAAGAATCTAGACTGCTCTATTATTATCTGCTTCACTTAAAATTATCAGATCTCTTATTTGCAATATATCTTCTCTCTTTTCATGCGTATAAAGTAGAGTTATATACTATCTCAAGCTAATATTATAATTGTTCTTCGCTAAAATTGGTCTCATATCACACGATATCTCATCTATAATGGCGCTGTGCTCGCGGATAACAAAATAACTATCTGAAACGTTATCTTTCGTGTACCTCTATAATGCTAAGTAAAATGCAGTTACTTTAAGGTAAATAGTGTTCTGTGGATACCTGTATGACGACAGACAACAAATCGACTTCATATTCAAGGTGTTTGGAAGGAAATAAATGTAACTGTATCACATTAAGACTTAGTTGCAACTTTACCCGAATTACGCCGCCAAATTTTTGTGGAAAGTACTTTCCATTGAAATACAAGCAATAAGTATAAGATATATATATTTTGACTACTTTTAAAAATAAAACTGCGTAAAAAAAGGATATAAAAAAATGTGTTGAGTCACGCAAAATGTGGGGTTCTGTAGTTGTTTGAGTTCCCTTCACAATACGTGAACTTAGAAGAGGCTTTCTTGAAAACGGCCGGATGTCCAGCCGAAAATAATCGGAAAGGCTTCCTAGGGCCTCAAAACGTGGAGATCTGACGAAAACTTGCATTCTCAAAATCGGAACGAAATTAATAACTTCGTATTTTTGCAAAGAGGAAAGTTAAAAAAATCCTGGTAATTAAGCGCATAATATGGCGGTATCGGGCTGACCTTTAACTTCATTACCTGGCAATGTCGCGCCTGTCACCAGAATCTAGTAACGAATCACTATTTTGACATAAATCACAAAATAATTAAGCTTAGGTCACTGATAATCGCGTTTTAAATTCACTTAACGAGATTCACTAAGTATCTACTTATAGTTTAGACCGTTAAATGTCAATGTTCATCATTCATTGCTTAATATTTTCAAAGTACGTTTCTATTCAACATTACATAGAGAGAATTCATAATCATATCTTTTGAAATATCGATTAAGAGGACACTACGACAGTTTTATGGTAAAATGGGTTTCAACACAATGAGGTCAGCTTTTGAATAATGTCCTCCAGATCGAATTTCGGTCATGGTCCGGTAGGACGGCAACCCGATACGACCAGAGAGATCATTCACAGGAACAACGGCTTTACGTGCTTTCCGAGGCACGGGGGTGGAACATGACATGTACATAACAGTACATGACTCCGGGCTGCTATTGAAAGTTTCTTGAAAGAAACACCCAAAAACTGTTTTGAAAAACCCAATATAACAGCGTAAAATAGCAGACAAACGAGGTATTCCATCTTGGTCCTTAGGGGTGACAACGCATCTGCATTTTGTTTCTTAATCGAGGATAGACTCGGCATTCACTTACAATCACGCGGACTATGTGTCCGTTTGTCTTATTCCATGGCACAAAAGCAGCATAAAGCTGCAGATTCGTGTTGTCAACGACGAGACCCGGAGACCCCTTGCGCTCGTAACGAGGCTTGTCTTTTGCATTTTGATTCCAAGACATTTTGACTCCACACACGGTCAGTGTAACTAATTCCAACTGATCAGTTCAAAGTAAAATTGTTGATATTTTATTAAATACTTCGTGGATTTTCGATATATCGATCATTACAAATATATTAATATCGGAGTTTTACATGTAAGTTTATTTATTGATATATCGAAAATCCGATATTTAAAAAAATATCAACAGTTTTAGTTTGAACTGATCAGTTGGAATGATCAGTTTAACTGACCGTTTGTGGCCACCATTAATCAAGGATAGATGTTTATGGATCACAACATCCACTTACCATCACGTGGAATATGCAGGTTAGTCACCCTTATTTCATTAAAAAAAATATAGAATGGAACAACAGTAAAATGTGCAGTTCCGTCCTTAACCTAAAAGCAAAAGGGTGTCTCTTTTCCATGATTTAAATTCCCGCAACCTCACAGGCCTGAAGGGAAATATTTGAAACCCGTGTTACAATTACACACATATTTTAATTACAATTATAACACATATTTGTTTCTTGTAATCTTTGTATATATATGAATTTCTCCTCCAAAAGCCGAGGCAGATCGTTAGTCTTAATATGTAAAAATTAATATTTGTTTGTTCGTATTTTATGCACTGCCAGACCGTTCATTAGATTGCGGTAAAACTTTGTCAACTTATTGCTTGCACTTGCGCGAAGATTATAGGCATAGTAAAGTTTATACGTGGTAGAGCCATGCTGCAGTTATATTTGTATAGTTGTAGCACGAATGGGTCGGCTCGACCGGGGAAGGACCACGCTCTCACAGAATACCAGCGTGAAATAGTGGCTTAATGCTGCTGTGTTTCGTATGGTGAGTGTAGAGAACCGGAGACCCTTTTTACTGGAAACGAGGCATTCCATCTTAGTCCTCACGGGTGACAACGCATCTGCATTTTGATTCGTAATCGAGGATAGATGTAGATGTCTATGGGCCACAGCAACCACTTACCATCAGGTGGACTGTGTGCTCGTTTGTCACCCTATTCTAAAATAAAAAAAAGTAAAAATAAAATAATTCACTTATATAGTAGGTGACGCGCGTATCGTACGCAATTTATTTCGAAGCTATACACCATTCAACTTCAATGAATGTATAATCGTTCCTAATCAAACAATATATCTCTTCCAAATTTAAAACGACATTTCTACGATTATTTATTCTAGCGCAGCAACGCGTCAGGTGTCCGCTAGTCCTTATAATATATACAATACTTTTATACGTGTGTTTGTCACTGAACTTCCCCTAAACAGCTGATTTAGATTTAAAATTAGACCCTGGGTATAGATTCACAGTTGGACCTTGGGTAGATGGCGCTATTGTCAAGATCAGAAATCACCCGTGCGACACCGGGGCGGATTTAATACTGTATGAAAAATAAACATTTGTCATTAAATAAAAGTACATTCAGATGTTTTAGTACAGTAAAAAATAAACGTTTTTTCTGGTCAACTGCACTAAACCGATCCATTTTTTTATAAGGTTTAGTCCTATAACTCAAAAAAGGAAGTTAGAAAAAAAGTTTTAAACAAAAGTTGTAGAGAATAAACTGATCTTTAAAAATGGAATAATGCATTTTATTGATTAATCTACTATTTCAAGAGTTATTGGCCGCGTTTACAATTTATGGTTCATTAAATAGGCCATAAATCGTAAACGGTAAGTTTTACAAAATATTTTACTGGAAACAAAAGATGACTTTGTGATACGATAGCTCTTCATCAGTCAATAAATAAAAGGTCAAAAGGGCGCTGCTTTATCGACGCCATTTTGACAGTCGACATAATAATACTAAATATTTTTGTCGATTTTAGTACCGTGTAGTGCAGTTGGTTTTTTTTAAAGTTGATTTTTCGAAGTGTTCCTAATTATTGTCAAAGATTGTACGTTTTTATTTTCTTAATATATTAGTTATAGTATACTACCTTGTGTTTTTGTCTCCGTCCTCCTCATAGTTTTGGTTTTATAAGGCGACGAAGCTTAAGATGACTATATTACCTCACGTACCTTTGAAATAACAAATCATCACCCCCTTTTATAGTCCCTGAGTTCGATGAAATAGTAAAAGCCAAATAGGCCAAAAGCAATAGCATCACATGAACTAGAGAGGCAGCTCATTTGAGCACCGTAAGGCGGTTGGTAATAGAATTTGATCGTGACCGTGTTTTTCTCCATGACGAAATTCGTGAAGATC